GGGGGAGATGGCACAGGACACACGCATGACATGGGTGTCTCTCTGCTCGTTCTGTCTGTATGTGTATGTCATTCAGAGGACTCAGCGTTGCGTCGGATGTTCAGCGTTACGTTAGTCGAGCCGGGCACGTTCAACGAGGCGATCAACAAGCCCGAGCGGCTGATGCACCTCAACTTCTACACTGAGATCATCATCACCGACGACGACATCAAGAGCCTCGGCGGCGCGGAGGACATCAAGCTCCTCGACATCCTCAAGAAGGCCTTCGCGGGCGAGCTCAAGGTGTACGGCGTCCAGCCACCCAAACACAAGAAAGGCGTTCCAGCAGAGGTGAGTCAGTGAGTGGGGCACAGAGGGCAGGGACGGGGAGGGAGGGAATTAGGAAGGGTGATAGGCATGCCATGTGTCGTGTTGTGTTGTGTGTGGATCAGTTGGGCAACTTGCCCCCGTGGTGGTTTGTGTTCCTCTCCTGGCCCGAGAGCGGCGTCCGTCGTGTCATCATGGACGAGGTCATCACCGTCCCGCCCGAGTGGATGTCCACGAAATGCGCACGCATGCACCTAGACCACGACCCGCAATACGGTGAGTGAGTGCGCCACTTGACTGACACACGACAGACAATCCATTGGGGGTGGGTCGGGTCGGGTCGCCATGCAGTCTACATCTACTGTGTGGTGTGTGATGTCCTTATTCGTTGCAGTGCTGATGGGGCTGGTGGCCAAGAGCCACGCCGACGCGCCCGACGGCAGCCTGCCGTCTGGTGACGTGGTGATCCAGGCGACAGGCGAGTCGCATCAGAAGTACGACCTCATCACCTACACCCGTGCAGTAGACGAGCCCGAGACCAACGCCATCAACCAGACACACAAGCCGCAGCAGTGGCGTGCGTGCAGGGGCGACATAGTGGAGCCGTGGGCCAAGACGGAGCTGCTCAACAACGCCGAGCAGCTGCCGCAGGTGCTGCTGTTCTCGCTGCACGAGAAGCACCTGGTGCGGATGCTGGTGGCGCCGAGCGAGGACAAGGCCGACGACTTCCTCATCTACGAGCAGCCACAGCCCCTGGCGAGCGGCAACCTACCGGCCGCAGGGGGGGCGGAGGCGGGCGGCGCAGAGGAGGACGCCTGACTGACCAGCTAGCTGATTGATTGATAGATAGTCACTCGGATGGACGATGGGAGGGTGGGTGGGGTGATGTAGTGTAGACAAGAGACAGAGGGGCTGGCGGATCGTAGGTCGATTGGATGACTGGATGGATGGATGGATGTGATGGGGTCTGTTAGTTTTCGCTGAGACGCGTGCACACTCGTCGTTTTTCTTGGCCTCCTCCGCTCACTATTACCAGCTGCCTGCACCATATGCTTTTTGCTTTTCTGTTGCCTTGGCGCACGTGGATGGATGGATGGAGAGAGACAGGTGTACATACATACATACACGTGCGCGGTGCTGCGGGCTTCTAAGGGTGCCTTTGAAGCGGGCGAGGAGGTCGTGTCACAAGTGCCACTGTCTGTTGTGTTGCTTCTCTGGTCGATCCATTGTGTGACGTTTGACGGAACATGGCTCGCCGAGCGTGGCTGTGTGAACGGAGTAGCCGACGTGACCCCTGTGATGCCGACCAGCTTCACAGGGAGGTGACGTGGGCAGCCCAGTCACTATGGGCGCGGTCGGCGAGACCATCCTATTCCGGTTGATGCACACGTATGGAAATGAATTGCCTGACTGGATAAATGCTATATACTTCTGGCTGGCTGTTCGATTTGGTTCCAGTCGCCTTGATTTTTGCGTGCCGTATACACATAGGCTGCTATTGCGGCGACGAGCAGGGGCGGGGAGGGAAGGTCAGATGGCGTCGTGTATGCCTGTCGTGTAATTAGTCATCCATCCGTCGAGTGCTGCCACGCATGGATGGCTGCATGGATGTGATGCGCTGACTGGAGAGAGAGAGAGAGAGAGACCAGGTAGGTGTATTTAAGACCCACGCACGAGGCGCGACTGAGTGAGACGGAAGGGGAGACCACTACCCATTTCTGTATTCGCGGGCTTCCCTTTCGGCTGGTCGGATCTCTTGTACACTAACTACACAACACACACGCGGACAGGGAGGGAGGGATGCACCCGAGCAAGCAAGGGCATTGGATGGACTCTCGTGTTGGCTGCCTGTCGTCGTGTCATGGGAGGAAGGGATGGAAAGGACCGTTTGCTTTTTCCGCTCATGCAGATTGCCGTGAGTCCGGTACTGCTGCAGGTCTGATTGAGTCGGTGCAGGAGAAGCTCTGGCACTCGACTCAATCAGTCTCGCAGAGGTATTTGACTCACAGCAACCACACATGGGTGACTGTCTGTCTGTCCGTCTGGTTGATCGATATGGGAACATGATGCAGAGGGAACATTGACAAAGACTGCAGTCCGGAACGAATGAATGGGCATATGATCGCTTCGGGTCAATATTGCTTCGGCACCGAAAGAGCCCGAAATGCGAGCTTTTTGCCAGGTGAATTCCTGCGCAGAAGTGCCTTTGCGCAGCTGTGGTGGTTGCCTTCTGACGGATTGTGTCCGAGATCTTCCAATTGACGGCCGCCAAGGCTCACTGTAAGTGCGGCGCGTGAAACAAGGACCATGAACCTGTGCTTCTATCGTGTGTGTCTGTTTTGGCGCTGACTCATTCAGGTAGATAGTCGACTGAGCGCTTGTGTCCATGGAGGCCGAAGAAGGGCTGGCCTTCAGCGACACGGCGGCAGACCGCAGCCCCGACCACACGTCCGCGAACCAACAGAAGCAACCACAGCAACAGCAACACATGCATATGAAGGGCACGTCGGCAGAGGAGGGATCTGGTGGGAGTGAGCGGCGCGGCGATGAATCGTCTGGGAGCGACCTTGGTGTCGGTGCAGTTAGTGCGTCGTCTGCCCAACCAGCAGGAGGATCTCCCCGCCAAGAGAGCACCCTTGCGACTGACGGCGGCCCACAGCTCTTCGACGAAGCTGAGTCGCGGCAGCTCTGCTCGGAGGTGCTCACAGAGGTGCTCCTCAGTGAGGCCATCGACACACATCAGGACCACCACCAGCAGCGACACCAGCGGCCATGTGCCCGTCATGCGCAGTCTATGCGACTCTGCCCCATATCCTCACCACCAGCCGTGTGCGGCGTGGCGATGCAGCAGCAGGGAGGCTGTCCTGGGATGATGGAGGGGGCGAGACATGGCGGTGGGCCTGTAGATGATTCAGATGCCATTGTCGACACCACACCGGTATACAGACAGCCACGAAGGCAGGAGTGCACCCAAGGATGCCTGTGAGGTCTCTCTCTCTCTCTCTCTGTGTGTGTGTGTGTGTGTGTGTGTGTGATTTTCAGGATCAGTTCCCTTCTACGTCTGTTGATTCCAGTACTTCCTCATTGATGCAGAAGCAGCACCAGCAAGCCGTCGACCTCACCAGCAGCATCAACCCATCGCCAATGGTCGCAGCAGCGGCATCAGAGCAGCAGCCGTCCGAGAGTCCCTCCCACCCGCCCCCTCCCTCCGTCCCCGCCCCCGCTCCACCCAAGAAGCAACCCAAAGCCAACGCGCGGCAGGCCCGCTCGGGCTCTGGATGCACAATCGACGGCGTGCTGGCCTCCTCTTCGGATGATAAAGTGCCAGCTCTGCACCCATCGGCAGCTATCGATCCGTCAGTCGTTGAGTCTGCTGCTGCCAGCCTGTGCTCCGCTCGTGATGCTACCGTAGCATGTGTAGCGGCGTCTTCTCACAGCGAGGGAGTGGCTGACAGACATGATGCAGACCGGCACAGCAGCCCGCGGCTATTCGACGAAGCTGAGCCGCGGTCCGCAGCTCCATCCCCCATCGGCGTGAGAACATCTGGTGGTGCAGAGGGGGCAGCATCTCAGCGCTCTGCGGTTGTTTCATCAATGGAAGCCGCCCTTGACGCTCTGGCTCGTGGGGAGGTCGATGTGTTCGTCGACCATGTTGACAAGATCCGAGAAGAAGTGGCCCCTCTGCCCGCTGGTCATCCGTTATACGTTCAATTTCGGCAGTCGCTAGTCAGGAAGAAGGCAGCCCCCACACAGGGGTCAGAGCCGTCCCTTGCCGACAGAGCGGTTGGCCTCCTTCTCGCCGATAATGAGCCATCGCACCAAGCAGCAGCGGCGTCCTTCCTTGGGTGGCTTTTTCGATCTGGGTATGGATTTGGCGCGGGATGGCGGCCGCTGTTTAGTCTTCTGGCGGACGCAGCGATGCAGAGGCGGACACTAGCGGACCAGGTCTTCGATGCAGCTCTTTATGCAATGTACGGCTGGATGGCCGCAGGTGGGTGGTCATATGGGTGGGCGGGCAAGCGTCTTGCCGTCTTTCACTTGTCTGTGTGTGTGCCTGTGCATCGCTCAGGAATGTCTCTGGATCATCTGAGGGAGGCATTGCGGCAGCACATTCTGAGCCACATCGACTCGCTCGCTGAGACTGTTGCAGTCAGCAGCGATCGCCTGGTCGTATCGAGGACGTCTCGGCTGTTGGGCGGCGTCTTCATTGGCGCGCACCGCCGCTTATGCTGTCATTCAAGTGCGCGACACATGGAACTGGACCAGTGTATGGAGAGACCCGAGAAAGTTGTGTGTCTCTGTGTGTGTAGCGTTGGTGTCGATGTGTCGCAGTGTCTTAGCGCGTCCTGCTGCCTTGAGCAAGATGGGTGCCGCACTGCATGAGCATGCCCCCTGCGATTGGAGCCCTATGGAGGTCTGGTGGTGTCTGACACCGGCATTGGCGATGGCTGGTGAGCATCATATGATTGTTGATGGTCCGTCCCATATATTGCCTTCTTGATGTCGTGTGTGTGTGTGTGTGTGTGCACATGTCCAGATGTGGGCCACAAGGAGAAGTTATCGCAAACGGCCTTCCTGTCGGGAGCGATGGCCATTCTGCAGAATGACAGATTGACCAAGGATGACATGTGCGGGTCATTTGTCGTAGAGAGCTGCGCAGCCCTGATCAACACCATGGTGGATCGTGTTGAGGTCAGCAAACGTTATAACGCACATCTGTCTGTGTGGACTTTCCGCTCTGGTCTTTGCTGGCGTTCAGTATGCCGCGTGTGACGGCATTCTCGTGCTCATGGGGACCTTGATAGCGAGAGCCGCGACCAAGGAGTGGAGATTGAGCACCACAACCTTCGTCTGCACAGCAGCCATGTTGACCTTGAGAAAATTGAGCGCGTAGGTGCCCTGCAGACAATTTCGCCATCCGTGTGATTTCGCCGGCGAATGACATGTGATGTGGTATAGATACGGTTCTCGACGGGTGCTGCGCGGAGAGTGGAAAGACAACCCAATCGCCAGGCAGTGCATACAGGTATGAAAGGGATCATGCCTATCAGTTGTGCCACGCTGTGTGCACCCATCCGGCTGCTGTCGTGTGTGTGTGTGTACGTGTAGATGGAAGCGTCCTTCTTGTCGCTGACGGCGGCGTCGCCAGACGTTCTCGAAGAGGTAGGTGACTGGGAGGAGCCGCAACAGTGACACACGTATGCACATTGCGTGCGTGTGTGTGTAGGTTTTGGACCATATCGGCCGTTTGCGCCGCCAGATGGTACTTCTCTGTACGTCCAAAAGTCACAGCTTGACGCGGCCCTCCAGACGTGTGTATCATGTTCAGGAAACGGTCGACCGGCTGGTCCAATTGGAAGCCGACCCGCAGCGAGAGGCAGCACGACAACGCAACATGAAGGTAGCACACGAAGGACAGAGGGAAAAGGAGGAGACGGCATCACCAACTTTCGTTGTGCGTTCTCTCTCACAGAATCCTGTGGTCCAGCTGTTGTCCGACAAGAAGATCCTCCACCTCATCTACACGAGTCGTCCTAGGAAGTTCACCGCTAGTCTAGTCCGCCGGTTCGCGTACTCATGCCGAAGTCTGCTCAAGGCGTAAGCACATAGCACATCACATCAAATCGTATGACATCAAATGTCGTGTGTATGGGGTGCATTTAGATTGTGTCCTGTCCGTGCGCCTGGCCGCATCTCACCGTCTTGGTGCCGCGAGTTGATGGTGTCGAGGGCCGAGTTCACCGTGACCGACCAAGGGACGCTGACGGCATCACTGGCAAGGTGAGCGGGGTGGCGGGGGCTAACGTGCGCTTGCGGTTGGATCACTGGACCCGTCAGGTACTCATCCGAGGCGATGCTTCTGCTACCGATCGAGTGGGAGTGCTCGTCGACCGCCGATGACGTCAGTGACCTGAGCAGCTTCCTTGAGAGTGCCGACAAACTCACCGAACTGCAAGTGACGGGTGACTCAGTGGTGAAGATGCAGCTTCTGATAGCATTCTGGGACAGGACGATACTGCGTGAATACCTGCTGTCGTTCAGGTGTGGATCTACGTGAGTTGCCTGATGACGAGTGCGCCCGATTGGCCCAGGCCATCGGCCGCCTGCCCTCATTGGAGGTCCTGAATCTCGCCCAAGGGAAGATGAGCCCTCCTTTTATTCACCGACTGGCCGCTCTGCTCAAGGTCGCCCGGGACGGCACGGGCGACATCAGTAGTGACAGTCCCTCTCCCCCGTCAGAGTCGTCATCACGTGACGTGACCCGCACCCCCAGCACCTCATCGGCTGCAGTGTCAGCGGGCCCAGCAGCGGACCAGCAACACAGAGGCGGTGCGGACGTCGGAAGGACAAGCACGAAGGACAGGCCATTCAGCAGACTCAGGTGAGCAAGCGAGAGGTGGACAAGAGGGAAGGGCAACAAATCCGTCACTCCTCATGCGGTGCTTTCCCCTCAGGATGATGTTTGTCACCGTCTGTTCGATGTCATTTGGTTCCTATCTCAGTCTGCTCGAGGTGGGGAATAGAATCGAGCTCAGGCCTGTCTGCGGGAACGGGTGGGGACATGGTTGCGTGTGTGGGTGCGTTCCCCTCCAGGGCTTGTGTGGCCGATCGTTTGCGAAGCTCGAGCTCCTTGTGTCGGTCGACTCTGACGGCGCCAAGTGCAACGACGCTGACAAGCTAGTGCAGGCCAGTTGTCTGCAGAGTGCGCTACGGCGCTTCTTTGCTACCGTGTCGACTCCGCGCCTCACCATGATTTCCACTTTTGTGGAGGGACTGGAACCTTCGAGCGTTGCCGACATTGTCGTGCATGCAGCCACCAGTGGCCTCGCGACCAATCCGAATCGAGCCGTACTCAAGTAAGACACACAGCTATACAGGCGACCAGCATGTGGGAGTGTGTTGGTTGTTTCAGGGATTTTCATCTGGATGCCAGTGCGACCACAACCGAGGCCCTCCTTACATTCGCCGTCAAGAATCTCACGCTGTCGGTCCTCGGCCTCTATGGTGCGTAACCACATCCATCCCACTCCCGCGGTGCCCATACCTCTCTCCTTTTCTGTGTGTTTGTCAGCATCTGACTCGCTCGGCAGGCTCATCCGCGGAGGGTTCCTGTGGACCGGAGGGATCCTGTCGATTAGCCGCTTTACGTCATTGTTGAGAGAAGCCGTCGGCAAGGCCCATGCTGCGCGCGAGAGTGAGCTAGTCGATGCGCGCAGTGTCACCGAGCGTCAGTGGGCGGCCGATGACGCCCGCCTGCCGCCACCAGCAGACGCAGCTGAGGAGGACCGACGGAGGGCGGCACGCGAGACGAGGGAGGAGAGGCTGCAGGCCACGGAGAAGCACATCAGATGCAAGCCGCCATTCGTGCTAGCCCTCACGAGTACGTGAATGTGCAAACAGAGCATGTCAGCTTGTGCGACTATGCGGTTGTGCCTGTTGTCCGGTGCAGATGTGCCTCTCGTCGATCCCAGCACCCCTGACGTCATCCGGACCGTCATCGAGATGATCGCGTCGATCAACGGGCGATTCGACTACGAAGAGCCGGTCATCCTCACAAGTAAATTAGCTCACCTGCCTCTGCCCACCTGCCGGCCTACCTCCCTGTCTGTTCGCCATGCAGAGCTGCAGTCTGTCCCTGACTCCCACTACGTCGATCCCTCATCCCGCCTTCCCAAGCACCTTTGCGAGGTCCTGGTGCGGTCCTACGACTCAATGAATCCTCTCGGGTGGTGGCAGAGGGCAAAGGAGGAGGCTTTGACGCTGCTCAAGCTGTACATGAGCAGCGTATGCGGCCCCGAGCTCCATTACTTTGAGGACCCCTTCTCCGTGACTGCGGCTGACTGGCACAGATATTGTGCCTGTGTGGCGGAGCTCGAGCACTTCGCGGATTACCAAGACGACGTCGACACAGCACACGCCGACATTGCTGGTGAGTGACAAACCAAGGGCTAGGGGTGGAGCGGACATGCCGCTCCTCTCTGTGTCCAGACCTCGGCTGGCAAATAGTGCCAGGGGCGTCCCCCGACGACCGCAGGGTAGGTACGCACACGCACAGAAGTGAATGGACCAGACAGATCGGATGAGAAGCAGGTCACTGTGTTGTTGCGACCACGTGCAGGCGTCGGATGAGAAGGGCGAGCAGCCTGCCGTCATGGAGAAGGTCTGCCGTCGCGGCCCATCTGTCCGTCCACCTATCGATGATACTGTGTGTGTGTCTGTGACTGCCGCCTGTCCATGCAGGACCGTGATGAGGTGCTGCAGCAGAAGATAGCTCATATGGGGGCGAAGAAGAAGCGGCTGCAGGTCATTCGGGAGCTGCTGCCAACGCTGCAGGCCAGGCTCACAGACCTCAAGGCACAAAAGGAGAATGCGGTGGCGTCCAAGGCCGACAAGGGCGACACCAGCACCATCGACGGTAAGATCACCAGCCTCACTGCACAGATCACTAAGCACGCGACCGAACAGAGGGCGCTGATCACTGAGATCGGTAGGTGCATTAACACAACACCAGCTTCAAGCTTCACCCCAACCCATCGCGCAGTTTGCGGCTTCCTTTTACTCTAACAGATGCGCTTCAGAGATTTGTCGCAGGCGAGGAGCCCGGCAAGGCTGCAACGCCCAAGAGCCGCTGCGACATGATGCGCGAGGAGATGCGCGAGAGACTGGAGGTCAAGCAGAAGCTCAAGGCCAAGAAGGAGCGCCGGATGAAGCGCCAAGCCGACAAGACGACCGACGAGGCCGTTAGTGCTCAGATGGCTGCTGAGGAGGCGGCGGCACGCAAGAGCGAGAAGGATCTTCTGCGGTCGATCGGCGATCCGGTGTCGAGCGATGACGACCAGCAGCAGCATGGTGGGGGCGGTCAGCACGGGGGCGAGAGCGGCAAGAGGGCCAAGAAGAAGCGACGACCCAAGAACAAGAGACCACGGGCTGCCCCTGCTGCACCGGCTGGCCCCTTCTCATCGGCTGCAGCGTCAAATCTTCTGGAGGACAGCAGCCCGTCTGTGCGAGAGGGAGAGGGAGAGGTGGATGACGATCTTGAGCTCGCTGAAGGGCTGCTGGAAACGCCCTCCAATGCCCCGAGCGAGTCCCACGACAGCCTCTTCTATTCCGCATCTCCCGCTGCTGCTGCTGCCGCCGCTGCGAGCGCCTCCAGTGAGTCTCTGCAGCCTCCGTCATGGCTGCAGCTGCCTCTCCATGGCGGGCGGGAGTTCGATGCGTTGCTGCCTGGTCACGAGGGACGACGGATGGTCGGAGAGTCGGTGGGGCATCTCGGTGGGCATGATGGAGAGGGTGCTGACGCGATGGGAGCCAGGTGAAAGGCGCATCGCTGTGGCCACACATTTCTCGATGAGACATGCTGTTATGATGTGTGCTTGTCTGTCAGAGTTGCTGAACTGGAGCGCCAGATAGAGGCAATGCGGTGAGAAGAATAGGGAGTGGTCACAAAGGAATATAGAAGCATCCATGAAGGGGTCGTGTCGTTTGCAGGCGTGAGGCAATGCAGCGAGAGGCGGCTGCCCAGCAGCAGATCAATACCGCCAATGAGGAGAGCGACCGGTACACAACACCCGACCATCCATCCTTATTGTCACTCCCCTCCTTTGTGCGTCGTATGCAGGTTGCGTGAGGCTCAGATGGCCAGCGAGCAGAGTCTTGCGGCGGCCCTTGCGGCCAACGAGCAGCTCCAGGCTGACATGCGTCAAGCCAATGCGGTCCATTGCGCGCAGCACCGGCGACTTACCAGGTTTGATGTGTATACAGGAGTGGTGCAAGGCCTATGCAGCGCCTCACCGTCTGTGTATGTACAGTGACATCGATCGCGAGAAGCGCCTCAACCAGCAGCAGGCGGCCGAGATGGGTCAGCTGCAGCACCACTTGGAGCGGCACAAGAGGTCAGCCACATACACTAACGAGCAATGTAATGAGACTCATTATGTTTGTTGTTGGTTTCATTGCGTGTCAGTGCTGCTGCAGAGAGGGAGGCGTCACTCCGACAGGAGAATGCATCGCAGGCACAGGAGGTCGCCAGGTGGGCGACGGGCTGACGCACACTTTGACAGAACGCCATGACGCTCATCTCCCATTTCGTTTGTCAGCCTTGGCGAGGCCAATCGTGCGCTGCAGGCCGATCTAGATGAGCTGCGGAGCAACCACATCGACAAGTCAGCACCCACTCCCAGAAGCGGGCGACACGAGTGCATGCCATTTGGTTTGATTTGATGTGATGTGTGTGTCATTCGTTCAGGTTGACTGAGACCTTCGAGGGCCTGACGACCGAGGCTGAGCTGAGCGGGTTCGCCATGCAGCTCACGGACCGCCAGACGGCCATCATGACGACTGAGCTGCCCCGACTCGCGGCACTCATCGCCAGGGTTCAGCAGAGGGCACGCGAGAGGGGTGAAGCCGAGTTGCGCGAGCAAATGCGGCAGGAGATGCAGCAGAGCACCCAGAGGGCGCGAGAGGAGGCCACCGAGTGCCAAGTGTGCCAGGAGACGGAGAGGTCGGTGGTGCTGCAGCCCTGTGGCCACTTCTGCATCTGCCAGCAATGTGCGCAGAATCTGAACCCTCCCGAGTGCCCTCTGTGTCGGCAGGTATTCACCGGCTGGACCAACGCCATATTCTCGTGACCGACCGATCCATCAACTGTGGGTCGATCGATGTTGGGGATGTGGTGTGACGGAATACTTGGTGGGTTTAAGAGCATTGCTGTCGTGTGTGGGCATCGTGTCATCCGTTGGCAGCCTTTATGGCTTTCTGCCCATCATCGCATTCCATTGCATGTGTTTCGAAGCATGTGTGCGCTTTCTGTATACCGACCAGCTGCCGGATGTATGGTTGATGTATCCATGTGTACATACATACTCATTCATATTCATAGTGCTCCCTCCTCTCTCTCTCTCTCTCTCTCCCTGCCTGCCTGCCTCTCTTTCTGTCTGTCTGTGCGTCGTGGCTGTCGGGCGCTTTCTTTACCAGCATCTGAGGGAGGGCGGGATCGGTGTGTGTTGATGCACACAGAAGTCTGAGGGCACTTCTGTCTGACTGGCTGGCGTGTACTTGTACCTAGCTGCATGAGACCGAAACGATCGTGTAGCTCTCTCTCGTCGAATTGGCAAACAGATTGTTCCTCTTCCATCGTCATTCATCCATAGCATTCATCCATCGAGTCCACATGAACATTGACGACCACCACGTCTTCACACAGAAGAAAACCGTCCACACACACCTTCATGCCATCCACTGCTCCATCTGCCCCCCACCTACATCAGAAGCTGTCAAATCAATCTCTCAACCAGTCGACCAGTCGAGTAGTCCACCCACCCCCCCACCCAGCGCCCCTTATCGTCCCCCTCTCTACCCCCGCCAATGTCCGTGCTGGTAGTGGTGCTGGTGATGCGGGTAGCCATAGGGCGGCCGCATGGGGTACGGCGCAGGCGCGTAGACAAACCCACTGGCTGCAGGCGGGCGGGCCGCCGCCGCAGCAGGAGGATAGTGGCCCACGCCGGGCATCATGGCCGGTGCTGGTGCGTACAGGGGCATGGCGGGGCGGAAGGGGCGCTGGTGGGGGGGCTGGGGAGGCGACAACGAAGGGGGCGACGGGCCTGAACAGCCACAACAAGGAGGAGGACCGCACAGGTGAACGATGCGCTCCCACACCCACCCATGTATGCGTGAATGAATGTGCTCACTCTTATGCATGATGTGTTGAGGCTCGGCGGTCTCGCGCACAGGCAGCGGAGCGCCCTTGAGAGGGATGGCAGCAGCGGGGCCGCTGGCAGCACCTCCCACCTTGGCAACATCAACAGGCTGCTTGGCAAGAGGAACAGCAGCAGCAGCTGCTGCTGCACTGTCCTCCGCGGTCTGGGCCATGATGTGTCGCTCGGCAGGCTTGGGCGTCATCTGCTTGGCCTTGCCTGATACACACAGCCACACAGATGAAGGACATGGCCATGCACACACTCATTGAGTGCTTGTCTTGTCTGATCTACAGCACCGCACCTGCATCTACAGCCCCTCCAGTCTCCTCTACTCCCTCAGCTGGCCGGCACACGATGTGCACCACCCCTCTGATGGTCGGCAGTGCCCCCATCGTGTTGTAGTCGTTGAGCAGCACCTCCGTCTTGCTTTTCGTCTTGACGCACACACTCAGCGACAGCGGCTCGCCCTCGTGCTCGCGATGGGAGCGGGTGAAGCGATCCAGGTGGTGCAGCAGCAGCGAGTAGGGGTAGGGGAAGTCCTCTTGCTGTGCGCGGGTGATGATGGCCTCCAGCAGGTGATGGAGCCGGCAGCGGGGAGCGAAGCGCAGCTCCCATCTGCCGTCGACCATCACCGTGACATCCTGCCTGCAAGGATAAGACGACGGAGGGAACAAAAGACCGTGCAATAAGAACCACACGGATGCCAAGATTGTTTTGTCGCCCTCACCCACCCACTTGTGATGTCTATCGTAGGAGCCACTGTCGATGAGCCGCTCCTGGTAGACCTCATCGGCTCGCCTCAGGTCACCAGTGTCATACGAATCGCCGACACCAGCAGGAACAGCAGGGACATTCTCCTGCCCTGCTTGCTCTCCACCAGCCACGTTGTGCTCATCCACATCTATTCCCTTCGACTTGCCGCCGGATTCCGTCCGCTCGTCCACCAGTGGCGTTGTTGCGTCGAATGCGGTCTTGGAACGCGGCGGGGAGTCGTCAGGTACGTCGGAACTGTCGTCGATGGCGTCCTGTGAGCTCTGCATCCGCAGTTCGTACCGCTTGCGATGCAGCTCACGCACAACAGCCAGCTGATCCATGATGACCGATTGACGGCGACGAAAAAGCCGAGAAGGACGGAAAACTCCTCGCAGAGCTTTCAAGCTCGCAAATGTTCCGTCAAACCGCTCTTCAGCTGAAAGAGGGAGAAAGATCTTTGAGAAATGCAGGTTTCTGTTGTTGCACAGAAGCTCGGCGCACCGTCCTTGGCTGCTTTACTCATGCTGATGTGGACAAAAGTGGCAAAGAAGAAGGCAGACCTCACTCTCAGGAAGCTGGCATCCTTCCTCTTCTACATCAGGCATGGACACATAGCTGCACCCATCGGAGGCATATATTCATCCATTCACTCATCGCTTTGCTGAGTCCTTCTATGTGTTGTGTGCAGTTTGTTGGTCGGCGACAAGGGAGCGGACTACCTGGATGCGGATCTCACGCGCAAAGAGGATGGGAAACTGCTCTCCCGACAGCTCAGGCTGGCGCGAAGACGTCTATTTGTCGTTAGGGACGACTTCCTGGAGCGATGCGAAAACTCATCTGCGATAGACATCAGCGCAGCGGTGCAGGAGGCCGAGAGCAACGACAAGCTGAGCGACTTCTGCCTGCATCCGCGGCCCTGCTACGGCGGCATTCGGCGCATCGATGCCGCAGACACAGCCATGAAGTCACCTGGCGACTGGTGGTTCTTCTCTGTCGACGACCTGCCGATGTCACTGCCCTTGCCAAGACGATATGGGCGTAGGAGAAAACGGAGGAGACAGGGCAAGGCGGCCATTGGCGCACTGGAGAGCAGCAACGGCGCCAATGACACACAGGGGGAGGGGGAGAGCCCTGCGGGCGAGTGTGGGGATGATGCGATGGTGCTGCTGTATCTGCATGGCGGTGAGTTCCTGAGTGGCGATGTCCGGCACAGTCGGAGGGAGGAGAGCTTTGTCTTGGAGTTGGCGAGAGGGACGCACAGGGAGCTGAGGAGACGACGGAAACGAAGATGGTGAGGGACAATGACAAAGTAGCCATTCGCACTCATATGTGCGTTCGGGTGTGTGGTAGGTGTGGCATCCAGCGGCTGTCAGTGTTCTCGCCTTCTTACCCGCTGGCATACAATGCCACTTTCCAGGAGATGGTTGATGCCGTGGTCGAGGCACACAGAGAACTAATCGACCTCGTGGGCGGCGACGGCAAGGCCATCATTCTCGTCGGCAATGGCTCAGGTGGCAACCTCGCGTTGCAGTTACTTCGTCACGGCGACGGATGTCATCCCAGCGGCATCGCGCTCGTTTCCCCGTGGCTGGACCTCTCATGTTCAGGCAAGACAATCACACACACACACACACACATCACATTATACTCTTATGTGCATTTGTGATCTGACCCAGGTGATTCCTATCACGAGTGCATGGACTGCACGTGCCACGGCCACTCACTGCGGGACGGTGCATACGTGGATGTGGAGAGGGTGCTGAAGGGCAACGCCACCGACTCCTGGCTGCTCCCCTCGTCTGGCATGAGTGTTGTCGACGCAAGCCCCACCCTCTGGCGGGCCACAGCACTGCCACCCAACACGTATTCCACCCCCCTGTATGTGTCTGTGGGTGAGGACGACTGGTCGAGGAGCGACGCCCATTCGTTCCTGGATATCTGGCGAAGACGGCAGCGGCAGCTGCACCGCAGACTGTCCTACTCGGCGAGCGGCCCGGCTGTTTCAACGCTTCATGAGAACCGGAGGGGCTGGCACTCTATGGAGATGTGGGCATCTGTTGTCCCCGAGGCGAGGGAGGCGCTGAGAAGAGTGTGTGTGTTCATAGCAGATGTGGCTGAGGGGAGGCAGAGGCCGGGGAGGGGTGGTGAGGTGTGATAGGTTGATAGTGGCAGGGATGCTGTGTGTGTACGTGTTAAGTACGTGTAGGATAGATCACTCTGATTCTCTTTTGCAAGTGCTCAGTCATCTGCCGACGTTTGTCGAAAGCACATTCAACTGTGCTTTCAACTCCCGTCGGAAGGCGACGCGGTGCTTGCCGAGGAATGATGAGCGGAGAGACCATAAAATCGTTCGGTCGGTCGATATTGCCAATTATCAGTCAGTCGCCGAGCCGATGTCTCTGTGTATCCCTCATGCGTTCCGCACGTATCAACATGGATGCGCCGCCCCCCCACACGCACACACGGTATCTCTGATGCAGTCTCACACGAACAAACAAATACCCACCTTGCAATCCACCCATTGTCTGTGCCGCACCCACAAAGAAGCAATTCAGCGACTACACCCAGGCACCCGATGCTGCAGACAGGCACACATGATAGCGCCGCCCAATTGCACCCATCACATGTGCAGCATGTGTCTCACTCAGCTCTCCTTCTGCCTTTCGTCCCGCTTGGTTGTGGTGGTGGTCGAGGGCGCATCCTCGCCGTTGCCTGACGTGGATGAGGGCAGCTCTGTTGAGTGTGTGTGCTGGAAAAGGGTGGGGCTGCCGCGATGCACGATGGCGTGATCACCGGCGGGGCAGGCGGAGTCCGAGACAGCCGGGGCAACCTCTGCCCATTCACTCACGCTGCAGACACAGGTCAGAGAGACAGAGAGAGAGGCAATGAGTGGCGTGCCTCGATCGGTTGATGGCCTTCCCGCTCACCCACCTTTGTGGAGGGAGGAAGCTCATGGCTCCCTGAGAGACGAATCCAGCTAAGGAGACAGACAGACAAGAGACCTGTACGCACGCAAATCCCTTCTATGTCTTTACGGACCAAAAGTACGCAGATCTCGGGCATCTTGGACAGGCAGGTCATCGTCGTCATCAGAATCTGCAAACCCAATGAATCCATCCATCCATCCATGTGCGGTCGTATACATGCATACCGGAGTCGAATTCGGACAAAGCTTCGGCAACGTCGGGGTCAGCAATGCCCTCCTCCGCCTCATTGTCACCCTCCTCTTGCTCTCCACCTGCCCTCTCATGAGCACGAGAACCCCCCTCCTCGCATTCAGCCCCACTGTCCTCTTTCTGCTCGCAATCCTCCGGCAGATCCTCACACGGTGCAGCCTCCACGTCAGCAGCCTCCGCGACACCCTCATCCTCCCCCTGCTGCCCCTCACCGCCCTCAGCATCGTGATACAGTGCCGTCTCGTCCCCGTCGACGTCCCCCTCTGCATCGCCCTCCCTCTCGATAACAGGCGGCTGGCTCGACTCGGCCGCGCTGTCGTCTCCATCACCATCAGTGGCGATGCTCTCGGGAGACGGCACACAGGGGATAGGACGCTCGAGGGGAGGGTCGGACGCCTTGTCGACATCCTCATTGAAGGAGGGGCCGTTGTCGGTCCCGGCTTCTGCAGAGGCGGGCGACGGATCGGGCTGTGGGTGCGGTCCGGCTGCATTACGGCGTGTGGTCGCAATGCTCACTTTGGCTCCACTGAAGCAGGGAAGGCGAGCCTTTACATACAGACAAGTAGTGGTGGATGTGTGCACAGGACGCTGGCAGAAGTGTTATCTCAATGCAGGCCTTGCGTGTACCTGTGTGGCCATGAGCCTCTCCCTGTCCGAGCCCCTGAGGCTGAGGCCCGTCTCCCGAGAGAATGACTCCTCCAGCTGGAAAGGGTTGCTGTTGCCAGACGACTGACGGCTCATATTCTCCACATCGGCCCTCACGTCACGCTGCACTGTCTTGCCCACACCCGAGGCCGCGGCTGCTGCTGCTGCCGCCGTATCGCGCTGACTGGGGCCCATCTTGCGCGACAGGCCCGCCGCAAACGCACGGAAATTTTGCTTGAGTGTCTCTGGTGTGTCCTCTCTCTCAGTGTGCTGGGCAGACAGGCCTGCAGAGGGCTGCTCAGTTGGGGCGGTGGCCATCTGCTGGTGGATGAGCTGCTGCTTGGTGCGGCCGCTGCGGGTGCCACCCTGCTTGTCGTCCGCCCGCTTCTCCCTCTCGATTCGCAGCAGATGCTCCTTTGTCCGGAGGCTGCCCTCTTTGCTCTTCTCCCTGTCGACTTGAGAGGAGAGATGGTCCACCTGATGCTGCAACGACTGCACCCGTGCGTGAATCTCCATCATGGACTGGGGCTGCTGAGCGCTCTGCTGGGTGGGGGGCTGCGTGCCGGGCGACAGGTCGGTCTCCACTGCACTCACTGTTAGCTGTTTGGAGGTGAGACACACACCGACAGGGAGACAAGTATGCTGGCAGTCCTTACTGTCCTCTTCTCTCTTCTTACCTCGGTTCTGTGTGGCCTGGCCTTCGTTGCGCGCCCCCTGCCTGCGTCGTGTGCTGTGAATGTCGACTTAGCGGGGGCGGTCGGCTCGTCGCTGTCCAGCTCATCTTGTGCTCCGATTCCCAAGATGGCCTGGGACACGGCTGCCTCCGACACGAGAGCGGCCGCGGTCGCCCTCTCGTCCTCCTGGTCGTCGTCATCGACATCCTCGCACTCGTCCGAGTCGTCGTCACGTGGACGCTTCTGGAATCGCCTCTGGAAGTGGTGGGCACGGCCGGTGGTCGCGTGAGCGGGCAGATCGACACGCGAGAGGTGCGTCTGCTTGGTGCGCGAGAGAATTCGCCTGTCCTTGGCCTTGGATGCCTCGGCGTCCTCGTCATCCTCATCTTCGTCGAGTGCTTCGAGTTGCTCCTCGTCCCTCTGGGCGTGCTGCCGTCGCTTCTCGCTGAAGCGCCGCAGGTCCTCTTTGGCGACCTTGTCCATGATCTGCTGCCGGTGCTGATCGAAGAGCGCCCTGCGCGCCATTGCCTCGCTGGCTGACGACCGGTAGCGCGCCTCATCGGTCTTCTGTGCCTGTGCGATGTCTTGGAGCATGTTGACGTGGTGGAAGTTGGCCTGCTGGTAGGCGTAGTCCTGCAGCAGGGGGTTGTTCGCCTGCTGGTAATGCTGATACAGGCTGGGGTCCCCCAGATGCATCGCAGGATCCAGGTGGTCGCGTGCGAGCAGGTCAGGTCGCCCCATGTAGCGGATCTGGTCATAGGACACCTCCAGCTCCGACACCTCCCGCATACGCCACGCACGTGCGTGGTCCACCTGCTCCGTCTGGTAGATGCGGGCGCGGGGATCACTGTGGTCGAAGAAGGCCATCGCCTGCGTGCCCTCCGTCTCGTAGCCGTGATAGCTATAGAAGGGGCCCCGGGGGCCGAGTGCGTGCTGGAGGTGTCCGTTGGCCGAGTGAGATGCGTGCTGGTGGTCATGAAGAGACGCGGTCATCTCGGCGGCCACGAGGGCCTCTCTCTCGTGCTCGGCATGCTCCTGGGCGTCAGATGGGGACGAGTGCTGCTGGACGTACCTCCGACAGTAGCTCCACGTCTGTGCAGACAGAGACCCGAACCGGGATATGAATGAAGTGCGTGTGTGTGTGTGTGTGTGTGGGTATGTTTTCCTACCTCTTCGACTTTTTCTGAGTATGGGACCATGCTGTCGATGCGCAGTCTGCGTGTGAAGAAGTCGTTTGCGAGCAGTTTGTCGGCCGTGTGTCGCTTGGCGGGGTCGTACTCCAGCATGGGCTCCAGGAACTGCACCAGCAACTGACGCTCGAACTCACCCAAATCCTTACGACTGAACACGCAGAAATGAGCAAATGGGCAAGGCAGATGTGTCTGCGCGTCCTCTTCATTTGGAGCAATGCTCACATTTCCCTGAGTCTGCGTGAGATGCTTCTGTCAGGGTTCTTCTTCTTGTCGGACAGAAATGGATAGAAACGCTGCACACACACACGCACAGACACGCGAGAGGATGAATTAAGGGCTGTTGCGGGAGACGGAAGGAAGCTTGCTTGATATTTCTCGCTTTTTTGGTATATGTCCTCCGGGAGCGGACCCAACGTCTCGATAAACTAACATTGATGGAAGGAAGGGACACAATGTGGACCCACGACGATAATGAGTAGAGGCCTCATGGGCGAGGAATACCAGTGCTATGTGCGTGAGGTCGTCATTCTCAGGATCCTCAGACTCCAGCATCTCAAACAGAAACTCACCTGCACAACACAGCAGCACCCGCATCCTCCTGCTGTGCGTGCTACCGACCCACCCACCCGCTCACCAGTGACGAGCTCATAAATGACACAGGCCAGTGACCAGATGTCCGTGGTGAAGGAATACGGCTGGATCTGCAACACAGCCTGCATCCACAGATCCACACATGACACACATGCAGACATGAACAGAGACATGAGCGAGGGGGCTGTTGCGTCTGTCCGTACCTCCGGTGCTCTGTATTGCCGGGTCTGAATGACCTCCCTCTCCATACCCAAATCCAACATGCAGTTACCTGCACAAAGAAGACACACAGAGGACGCAGCACAAATGCGTGCTGCTCTTTCTCTCCCGTGCCTGACCCACCCAGGTCAGCAATCTTGAACTCAGCAGTGTCGTCATGAAAGATGTGACAGTCAGCAACACTGCCACCACACAACCAGTAAGCACGCTTCTCAATACGAGATTTCGTCTGCCGTGCCCGTCATGCAATCTCACCACTTGCTGTAGTCAGCAAGGCTCTTCTTCGTCACGTCATGTCGGACCGTGCTGGGCAGATAGCGGACCTCATACGGCGTGGGGTAGAAGCACGGCACCTCACACCCCGCCGTCGCGCGCTTGCTGCTGTGGAGGTACTCCGGGGCAAAGTACACGGGGTGGTTGACCTCGGGTGGCAAGATGGGGTAGTACAGGAGGTTCTTGGCGTCACTGCGGGCGCGAGCCTGGGCTACCTTGATGGCCCAGTCATATATCTGCTGGAAGTGCTGATATGGAGGCCTGAAGCGTACAACGAAGGCCATGTGATACATTCATTCGTGTGTGGTGTTGCCCTACTTGACGTATGATTGCTCCCATTCCTCCTCATATGTGGTCAGCAGCGAGGGGTCACTGCGTGAGGGCTTGAGCTCCTTCTTGACGTACGGCACGTCCACCTTGCCCCTTGGCAACTCCGACTCGTCAAAGTCCACACACGCAGCATCCCCACCGTTGCCGTTCCCCCCATGCGATACCCCATCATTGCCGCCCCTGCGGCCCTCCTTGCCTCTGCCTTTCTTCCGCGACTTGCCCTTCCTCTTGCCGCCCTCGCGTGCCTCGGCGGCCTCGCGGTCCAGCTCAGCCACCACCATGTCCACAGAGTCTGCCTCACCCGCATCGTCGTTGTCCACCTCTCTCTCCTCCTGATCTCCCTGCTCCTGCTCGGGCTCTTTGTTTTCACTCTTGTCTGCGGCTGCAGCCTTGCCTCTCATCTTGTCCTTCTTCTTGGTCTGGGGCGCGGCCGAGGCGGGTTCGGGGCCTTCGATCTCCACCAGCACTGCCGTCTCGCCGGGGCCGCTGATGGGCGGCTCCAGTTCGAGAGCAGCAACGCTGTCCTGTGGCGCCTCGCTGGCCGGCGGGCTGTCCGTGCCTCCCTCGTTTTCTTCTCCTTCCTGGTTCTTTCGCTTGTTCTTGGCCCCTCCCCTGCGGCCCCTCTTCTTCCTCTTGCTCTTGCCTGGCGATGCCTCGTCCTCGTCCGCCTGAGTGCCCTCGACCGTCTGGCTGGCAACGTCATCGGCCATCTGCTCGGTCGCTGTCACCTCACCGCCACCGGCATCCGCCTCAGCGCCACTGGGCCGGTCGGCCGAGCCTTCTGGCTGGTCAGGGGCGATGAATGGGACGGCCACGGCGGATGCCTCGCCCTCAGGAGACACAGCACCCTGCTCGCCTTCCTGGCTGCTGGCGAGCGCTTCGTTGTCTGGTGCCTGCTCGGGGGCCTCGACGTCGCCATTGTGTCGACTGGCCTCTTCGTCAGCAGGCGGGGCCTCCGACACTCCATCGGCGACGTCAGGCGGCTCTTGAGCAGTGACGGACTCCTCTGCTGGTGGGACAACGGTGTCGGGAGCATCCTCTGGGCCAGCAGGGTGGTCAGCCAGGCTGCTCTCGTCATCGTGCCCCTCTTGCTCTTGCTGCTCCTCCGCTTCATCCCTCTCCTCGATGTCTGCTTGCTTCCGCCCGGCGGTCCTCTGGGCGGCTGCGGCTTGTCGAAAGAGAGTGGACTTCTTGTGCTTGTGCTGGGGCTGCCTGAAGCCTCGAGCAGTGAGGGGCGAAGCCGTGGAGGCGTCGGGGCTGTCAGCCGTGGCCTCGTTGGTGGCTGTGCCGGGCATGACGGACAGGTCGAGATCGAGGATGCAATCATCAACGCCCATCTTCTTGAGTTTCTCGCGAACTGAAAGACCGAGGGGAACAGAGCGTGCAATGTGTGTGTGTCTGGCTGACGCATTGATCAATCTCACGTCTTTTCTTCTTGTCCTTCTTCTGCCCTTTTGCGATGCTGCGGAACTCATCAAGAGTCGACAGAGCCTCCTCAGGCACATCACCAGGCACCTGCAAACCGAAACACACAACATCTGCCTCCATAGTCTTTTTCTGCAATCGAGTGTGTGCATACCTTGATTCCTCGCGCCCCCAAGATGCTCTTGAGGTCTGTCGGGGACGGAACAGGGGCAGCGACAGGAGCTACAACAGGAGCAGCAGGCGCAGCGCTGGCCGTGGCAGGTGGCGGCAGCGTGAGCTGCGGCACCCCGTTGGCCACAGCCGAGCCCCTGGGGGGCTCATCAGCGGCTGCGGGCGCCTCCTCGGCCTTCGGCCCCTCCTCTGTGTCAATGTTGGGCGAGACGGCGCTACTGGCTTTGCTGTCGTCCCCATTGCTGTCGTGGTGGAAGTCCCTGAACACCTTGTCGATGTCGTTGAGGAAGGTGGCCGTCGACACGAGGATGTTCTCGGGCTTCAAGTCAGTGTGCAGGATGCTGCAATTAGGCAGAGACAGCAAGATCAATCGCACCCCCGTCCCATGTCTGTCTGTTTGCTTACGATGCGAAGCTGTGCAGGAAGTGGAGGCCAATGAGGAGCTGACACGAGACATTGCGAACCACCTCCAGCGGACAGAACATCTGCACACAAAGCAAGCCACGAAACGTGCTGAGAAGACGTACACATAGCCATCTCTCCTTTCATCGTACTTTGGGGCACTTCTGATAGAAACGGATCAACTCAAGCAGATTCGGGCCCAACAGCTGCACATGAAAGAGACATACGCTTGGGAGTGTGTCTCTTCCTTTGTGTCTCCACTGTGCACAACAACGTACCTCGAATACGATGACGTGGTGCTTGCCGTGTGGCCCGTGATGCACGAATCGGTCCTCGAGGCGAAGGACGTGTGTTGAGTTGAGCAGCACCTTGTGACTCTCGGTGCGGCCGTACTCGGGGAAACTCTCCTGATTGATCCACCAATGACCAAACACGAATGATTGATGGTTGGTTCCATGCAGCATTCGCCGCGTGTGTGGCGTCACCCTACCTCCAGATTCTTCTTATATTCCAGCCTGCTGCTGCTCAAGAGGGCACGGCGAACCGTCTCAGCCACCGCTATCTGCACACAACACAGTGAGGACAAACAGAGGTACGGGAGCGATGGGTGCACCTGCTCATGTCAGCCAGCCTACCTCATCCTGTGCAGCCATGGCGTAGTCACGGTGGCTCCTGGCGAACTTGAGGGCCACATATCGACGGCGCTCGTTCTTGGTCCGCTTCGACCTGCCAGGAGACAGCACCAGAAGCCGACGAGATATCAGAAAAAGCAATGCAGCTCGGATAATAGCGCACTTGGTGTCGAGTGCGAGCCACACTGTCGAGTATTGGCCGTTGCCAAGCTTGGCGCACGTTCTGTAGCGATCATTGTACAGCTGACTGGGAGGAACAACACACACGTACACAAACGCACAACAGAGACCGATGGATGACATACAACCAGAGGAAGAGAAACGAGTGTGTGTGGTGGCTTCACCCACCCCGGCTTGACGGGGTGATAGCCGCCGAGTTGATATTCGTCGATGTTCTCATGGCCCTCGTGAGTCGCCTGAAACTTCCCGCTGTCGAACAGCAGCTCCTGCGGGTGGATGCGATCACCGCACGCACCCAGCAATCTGCACACAACACATACGTCAAGAATGGTGCCCCTACTATAGGTGCCCCTATGACCGTCGGTTCATGCATCGGGATGTCTCGTGACGCGTCTGGGTCATCGACTGCATTTCTCTTTTGGCTTTACCTTGTGTCAGTTTCGCCGTCCGTCATTGTCACGTCCCAGTCACGTCGCCGCGTAATGGACGGAAGGGCGCCTCTGCGCCTGGCCTCCTGGCCCCGCCCCAAGAAAACTCCTTCTCGCTCTCGCCACGAAGCAGAAAGAGCTCAACGTTGCCTCGACGACGTCACTGCCTCCCTCTCGCCCTCGAGAAAAAGGCGAAAAAACAAGTCGCGCGGTCGACATTTTTTGCGAGCTTGTGGTTTGAGCTTGCCTCAAGAAAGAAGGGAATTCGCCTTGTATCGTCGTGATCTGGTCAGAGAACGACTGCGTGAGAACCAAGCGCAAAGCATTTGCCCGACATCTGCCGCGTGAAGCGTCGGAGTGTCCCTCTCCATCACTATTCATCGTCAGCTGCTTCTGAAAGGACGGCGCTGTTTCTATGGACTATAGGTGAGGGGTGGAGGTCGTTATAACAGCTACATGCACACACCGAAGCGGCGAGACCTGCGTGTTTGCTTCTCTCCTCCCTCTCGTCACCTTGCAGCAAGGAGGAGGACTTTCCTAGGAGCCGTCCCAAAGCGAAGAGTGTGCCTCCGCCTCCGGGCAGCAAGAGGCGAGCTGTGACCGATGAGTCATCCCGTGGTGATGACGACAGTCAGCCAATCGGTCCCAGTCCTGACGCCGTGACGCTGCCGCCTGACGTCAGATATCTCAGGCTCAAGGTACCCACCCATCACAACACCACAACCACGCCAGGAACGAACGAAGACGACCACCGGCTTCCCTGTGTGTGTCAGGATCTGAAGGTTGGGACTCTCCTCCTTGGTGTGGTGTCTGAGATCACATCGACCGACTTGGTTGTGTCGCTGCCCTACTTCCTCACGGGCTACGTGGCCCACCAGCACACCATGGAGGCCGAGTACATCGACACAGACGAGGGCAGTGTCGGCGTGGCGCCGCTGGGGGAGCGGTTTCGGGTCGGGCAGATTGTGGCGTGCGTTGTGCTCAAGACAGGTGGGCGGTTGCATGACGGACACGCCACGGACTCGGCATCCCATGTGGTTTTGTGTGTGTGTGTGTGTGTGTGTGTGTGTATGTCAGAGAAGGAGCGTCGCATCGATCTGTCACTTCGTCCATCTTTGTGCAATGCCGGCCTCACCATTGACACGATCCAGCCCAACATGGTGCGCTGTCAGTGAATCGGCAGAGGCGCGACACTAACTGTTGCTATCGTCATTTTGTTTTTCTTTTTTCACTTCAGTGGCTGCCGGCGTCTCTGCACTCCGTCCAGGAGCACGGCTATCTGCTCTCGCTGGGCCTTCCCCACATACACGCCTTCCTGCCCGAGGCCAGCATCCCCCTGAAGGAGACAGCGGAGGGGTCGGGCAATGAGGATGAGGGAGAAAACGACAGGGAGGATGACGGCCATCGTGACCCGTCGCTGCGACCCTACCATTTGACCAAGGAGCAGCTGACAATCGGCAGCCTGCTCTTCGTGTCCATCGAGACCGTTAACAAAGGTGCGAGAGGGAGGGCCAGCCATTGACAACCACTCACACTTGCTGTATGTGTGTGCAGATGCTAAGACGGTCGTCTGCACAGCGATCCCCTCAGCCAAACCACTCGTGAGCACACCAGAGCACTCGTATGCATGCACTTGTGTGTCTTTGTGGTCAGGGCAAGAGTGATCTGGACCTGAAGCTGGTCAAGGCGGGCCTGCTGGTTGAGTGTCGCGTCAAGACCCTCCTGGACAGCCCATCACTGGCTGCGGCGGCCACACGTGAGGGCAGGAAGAAAGGCGGGGAGGCCGAGAAGGGGCTGCTGGTGTCGCTGCTCGGCTCCCTGCTCGGGGCAATCCACCCCCATCACGTCAAGCACCCGTGTCTGGCGGCCGACGCCCCATCCATTGCTCTCAAAAAGAAGGTGATCGATAAGCGGAAGGAATCTGACTCGGACGGCCGATCTTGTTTGCCTGTCTTTCAGTTGGTTGGTCGCATCATCGCCGTGATCCCCTCTGAGCGTGTGGTGCGTCTGAGCCTGCTGCCTCACCTCCAGCAGTGGCAGAGCTACCACATGCCATCACACATGCCGCCCGGCACACAGCTGGACACATGCACCGTGGTAAGGACGCACCGCAGCCTGTCTGTCTATTGTGCACCTGTGCTTGTTGCATGTGTGACAGCTGGACATTACTTCCCGCGACTTCATGCGTGTGACGGCTCCGCTGCCTCCTGCAGAAGCTGATGGCGATGAAGGCGCGGCAGCAGGCGGACAGAAGATGCTGGGCCTGTGCCATGTGAGCGGAAGAAGGAAGCGCCCTTTTATGTATCTTCCTCCAACCGTGTCATATCATTGTAGTTGAGTCGCATGTCCGACAAACCGATCGAGAAGGTGGAAGACGCATACCGGATAGGACAGACGTGCAAAGCAAGGTGCACAACGTAGCAGACAAACGACCACGATTTCCGTCTCTACGCATTCCCTCGATGCATCTGTGTGTCTGGTCCGTCAGGGTGCTGAGCAGCAACGCGTTTGAGGGCGGCTACCTGATCTCCACCCGCCTTTCTCTGCTGGAGGAGAAGTACCTGGCCTTCCACCAGCTGCATGTCGGTGAGGTGGTCACGGGCGTCATCGAGAAAATACTCGACGGCGGAGTCCTCATCAAACTCAGTGACCACGTCAAAGGTATCATACACACACACAGGAAGGCAGCCTGCTAACAGGGTGATACTGTGTATATCTCTTCATCCGTGGGTGCGTGCAGGGATTGTGCCCCATGAGCATTTGACTGACGTGCCGTTGCGAAAGGTGCCGTCGCGGTTCAAGCCGGGCATCAAGGCCAAGTTCAGGGTGCTGAGGCTTGACACGGCCGACAGGTAATGGCCAACACACATGGACGGATGCGCTTCTTTCATCCGTGGTCCTCCTCTGTGTGTGTGCAGGCGTCTGCAGCTGACGGCCAAGAAGACCCTGGTCCGCGACGACAACGCCCTCACCGACATCTCACAGGCACACGTCAACCAAATTGTCACGGGGTAAGACAGCACACCACCATTATGCTGCACACCTGCATACCCTTGCCCTCTGTCTCTGCCAGCTCGGTGGGCACGGTGCAGTCCTTCGGCATCGTCGTGCACTTCTATGCCGACATCAGGGGGCTTCTTCCCGCACGGGCACTGTCCGACACGTTTGCATCCGACCACAAGAAAGGGCAGCTGGTGACGGCCCGCATCACCCGTGTGGACCAAGATGGGCACCAGCTGATGCTGTCTCTGGACCTGCAGCCCAAGGTGAAGGAGAGGCCGCTGCCCGTCCCCTTGGATGTCGTGGAGAGGGGCCAGCAAGAGGCTGACGAGGATGAGAAGGACCTGCCTGTGGTCACCGACGGCAACAAAGTGGAAAGTAGGCGGACAGCAAAAGACGGTACCGTTGGTGTCTGATTCCTTTCTGCGTGGCTGTATGCAGAGCTGCTCGAGTATGGCCAGATTGTGGACAGTGTCAGGCTGCTGCCCGTCGTCAAGACAGAGCCAACCGACACGCAGCCAACACCACAGGCACCACAAGGCCTGTATGCGAGCTTCGTTGCGGTGGACACCTCAGCTGATGACGGCACGTCTTCTCGCGTGATGGTTGTGGGCTACATCCCACCCGGTCACCTCTCAGACGACGTCGAGCAGAACAACCGAATACACCAAATTGCTCAGGTAGGAGAGAAACGATGTGCTTTGCAACACCAATATGTATACCCGTGACTTGGCTGGTCAGGAGACGAGCGGCGGCCACACACTGCGGTTCCCATCGGCCGTGGTGCTCTCTCCTGGCGCCCCAACCCCCGATAAGAAGACTCGGGCCCCCGTCGTCTCGCTCAAACCATCACTCATCGGTAACAGTACTCACAAGACACACACCGTATGAACACAGCCCCGCCGTCCATCGCTGTCGTGTTGGTCTCCCAGAGGTGTCCCGCAGCGGTCAGTTCGTGACCCAGCTGGAGGATATCTCCCTCCACGAGATGCGCTTAGCGTACGTGCGTCGATTCAGCCCGGCCGGTGTGGTGGTCGGTCTAGGCAGCTGGCGGTGCGCGGGGCTGGTCCTCAAGCCCTTCCTCTCTGACCGCTTCGTGGAGAATGCAGAGGACATCTACAGCGAGGGGCAGACCGTGTGGGCCAAGGTGATCGATGTGCAGGAACCGGGAGGCGAGACTGCCAAGGGGGACGGCAAGGCACCGGCGCAGAGCAGGCGGATCAACTTGGACTTGAGGCAGTCCGCGCTGGGTGGTCGCGATGCCAAGATGGCTGAGATGGGTTCCAAGATACTTGCCAGGTGAGTGCACCAAGTAATGAGCGAGAGGATGTCATTTCAACGTATCTGTTGCTCTGTAATGCAGCTATCTTGATGGCGAGAGGCTGCTGCTCACGCAGAGTGGTGCCCTCGACTCAGCCGATGAATCTTCATCCGCATGGCAGCATGTCAAGATCGGCGGCCTGCTTTCTGCCACAGTGAGCAGCGTCAAGCCCTACGGCCTCATCCTGTCCATCAACGACAGCCAGGACCTCACCGGCATTGTCCACAAAGCACACTATCCCACGAAGAGGACCGACCGTCTGACCGAGGGGGCGGAGGTGACTGCTTTCGTTCTCGACGTTAACATCGACAAGAAGATTGTTGACGTTTCACTGAAGGACGAGCTCGTCGATCGGCCTCTGTGGACGGTGGAGACGGCCGCCTCGGCACCAAAGGGCAAAAAGAAACGGAAGCGGTCTGGTGGCGACCCTGCTGACGATGTGCGCGCCGCCCTGGTGGCTCTGAAGGGCACCACAATCTCCGCTGAAGCCCAGCTGTCCAGGTCCCTCTACTCCGTCCTCACATGTGACACATCGGTGGGCGAGCGGCGCGTCAAGGCCGTCATCATTGCCCCAGGGCCGTGTCTCAACGATGTCAAGAGGCACGCGCAGAAGGATGGCGACAAGCCGCGCGTCAAGGTCGCCATTCGGGATACAACGACGCTACCAGTGGCTGGGGAGTGCCTGGTTGGAGTGGCGCAGTGGCCGAGCAGCAAGCGGAAGGAGGCCAAGGGCAAGAAGAAAGTCGCCGGACGTGTCTACAAGGAAGAGGAGCTCCAGGTGAATGAGGGAATGAGACGCCAACATCAACCCTGGCTCAAACGTCCATGGTCCCTCTGTGTGTCTTCGTTCAGGTCGGTTCGCTCATCAAAGGCGACCTCAAGGCCGTCAAGCCCACACACGCCTTCGGTCGGACTGGCCGCAACGTGCAGATAAGTCTCCACGGCACACAAATGCTCGACCCGCCCCCTCTGCCCAGCAAGCCCCACGACGAGTCGTCCTTGCCCGATGCAGTGATGCCTCTGGAGGGGCTCAAGGGCAGCGGGCAGCTGGAGGGCCGCATCGTGCGTGTCAAGCACAGGCAGCAGGGGGGTGCGGTGGATGAGGAGGGCAACGACGAGGGTGTGTTTGTCGTGGAGATCACGACGCGGCCTGAGGTGGCGGATGCCATGGACCCGGCTGACAAGATCAGGGAGATGGGGGACGCACTCGTGCCGACATGGAAAAACATCAAGGTCAGCTCACACACTCGTGTGCCCGTGGGCATCTATGCCGTCTTGTGTGTGTGCAGGTTGGTGAGCACTACAGCGGCGTGCTGATGTCTATCGACAAAGACGGGCTGTGGGTGGAGCTCTCGCCCCACGTCAAGGGCCGCGTCTTCATCACTGACGCATCGCCGCACCTCTCTGTGCTCAAGAACATTAAGGCACACTTCCACGTCGGCCAACTCCTCACCGTGGAGGTGCTACACGCCACCGGCGCATCGCACTCGGCCAAGAAATCACTGGACCTCGCCATCGCCCAAACGCGGCGGCGAAGCGGCGTGATTCCCGTTGGCGGCAACGAGTCCCTCGACACAAAGGAGGGGCAACGAGAGTATGCCAGGAGGCGTGCGCCCGCAGGCAAGAGGGTGGTGGGCCGGGTGGCCGCGGTCAATGCGACGAAGGGCGGCGGTGAGCTGGCTGTGAGTCTGGGTGGATGTCTGGGGGTGCGGATGCACTGCACGGAGATCCATGACCACCTTACCGAGAAGCCGCTGAAGGGGTTCAAGGAGGGCCAGCTGGTGCCCATGGTCATCCTGGGACTGGCCGATGAGAAATCGAAACTCGTGCTCGGTGAGAGTGAGAGAAGCCCACACAAAGCACTGCCTGGCGTCCTTTCCATTCTTGCGTGTCGTCTTGTCAGAGGGTTCTCTCCGCCCCTCCCTGCTAGCCAAAGCCGAGACAGCGAGCAAGAAGGACAAGATCACGACCGACCGCCCCCTCGATCCCTCCGCCATGTCAGTCGGGCAGGTTGTTGGTGGCTACATCAGCCAGTCCAACGCCAGGGGGGTGTTTGTGGCCCTCAGCCATGCCCTCACCGGTCGCATCAGGCTGGGCGAGTTAAGGGAGACGCCGACCGACCCGAGTGAGGTGGAGTCGCTCTTCCCCGTCGGCAAGCTTCTGCGGAGGCTGGTGGTCAAGAAAGTTGAGGATGACCGAGTGGAGCTGTCGCTGAAGGACGCGGCCACACTGAAGGAGGGGCAACAGATACTCACCTTTGATGACGTCAAGGTGAGAGAGGGACAGATATACACACACACACCTCATCCTGCTACGTCCCGTGTCTGTAATCAGGAGGGTGACACTGTCACGGGCCGCGTCAAGCGCAAGGAGTCATTCGGCGTGTTCATCCGCATCGACAACTCCGTCAGCCTGGACTGTTTCTGCCACGTGAGCGAGATCAGCGACGCCCCGCCGCCGCCCAACAACCTCACCCTCCCCCTGCAGTCCCTCAAAGTGGGAGACCGCGTCAAGGCCAAAGTCATCAAGGTCAACACCGACCAGCGCCGGCTCTCCGTCAGCCTCAAACCCTCAAACTTCGCAGACGAGGGCGACCAAGAGGACATCAATGAGGATGCAGACATGCTGGACGGACTGGGGATGGACGAGGACGACATGGCGGAGGAGGAAGAGCCGGCTGATGCTGAGGTAGAAATGAATGGCGATGAGGCCATCGACGAGATCGACGACCAGGAGGAGGTATTGCCGCCAGCAAAGAGACGGAAGACAGAGAGGAATGCCGCCAAACGGGCTAGGGACGCTCAAGAAGAACACGAGGAGGATTCTGGCAAGCAGGACCGTGACGATGTGTCGTCATCCGCCCCTTTCCCGCCCCCCAAACGCCGCAAAAGAAAGGCGGCCTCAGAGCCGTCAGAAGAAGACCTGCTCGCTGCGTCGTCCGACACTGGCGCCCTGCTGGGTGAGGTCTTCGACTTTGGCGACGTGCGGCTGTATGAGGGCGGCCAACCTGAACCGTCGACAATGGCAGCGGGTGAGGAGTCGAGTGGAGAGAGTGGGGATGAGGAGTTAGGCGATCATGAGGAGGCCGTGCCAGTCAAGAGGAAAAGCAAACGGGCCAAGGAAGCCAAGAAGGTGAGAGCCAACGAGCGGAAGAAGCAGGAATACATATTCCTTCCTTTGTACGTGCTGTGTCCGTGTCATTCAGCGTCTCGAGGAGGCCTCATTGCGCGCGGCGGAGGAGTCAGCGCTTCGGGAGGACTGGGCGAGCAATCCCCAGAGCCCGGATGACTTCGAGCGCCTCCTGCTCACCAAGGGCGACTCGTCAATCGTCTGGATCAAGTCAGTTGCCAAACCAACGCCAAAGAAACATTCTCTCATCAACACTCATTGACGCTTGTCTGTGTAGGTACATGGCGTACTGGTTGAAGCTGAGCGAGCTGCGGCATGCGCGTGAGGTGGCTGAGCGGGGCGTCAAGCACATCTCATTCAGGGAGGACAAGGAGAGGCAGAACGTCTGGATCGCTTACCTCAACATGGAGTGCTCATTCGGCACGCAGCAACAACTCGACCAAGTCTTCAAACGGTGCGTGTGCTCTCACACACGCAGGGACGTGTGCACTATGCCGTCTCATTGCGAGTCGGTGGGTGTGTTGTGTTGTTGGTTCGTGCAGTGCGTGTCAGTTCAACTCTCCCAAGGCGATATGGCTGCAGATGGGCTACATTTACCAGCGCAACAACAAGATGGACCTGTGCGAAGCCACCTGCCAAAAGACGTGCGACAAATTCCCACAAGCCAAGAAGGTCAGTACGGACACATGGCCGGTCATGTGTGTCGTTTGCCCGCACCTCGGGCTGTCTGTCTGCCCATCCACGATTTCATGCAGGTGTGGATACGCTATCTGACCTATCTGTATGAGGTGGCGGGCAAGGCGGAAGAGGCCCGCCAGGTGCTGCCCAAAGCGTTGCGGCAGCTCCCCAAAAGGAAACACATCGCCGTCATCACAAAGGCAGCTCTTCTCGAATACAAACACGCCAGCGCCGACAGGTACCAACCAACCACCGACAAACCTCAGAATGCTGTCTGTTGCCTGCATGTGCATGTGTGATTTCCTGCAGGGGTCAGACGATCTTTGAGGGTCTGTTGCGGACCTACCCTCGTCGGCTGGATCTGTGGGCTCAGCACCTGGACGCCCACATCAAGGCCTCCACACCCCCACGGCAGACGCCCGCCCTGCTCGACAACGTGCGGCAGGTCTTCGAGCGGGCCGTGGCGCTCAGCCTCAAGCCACAGAAGATGAAGTTCTTCTTCAAGCGGTAAGGAACACCAATGCCTGGCACCCTGCTTCATTTGCGACATGGATGGATGGTTGGTCGGTCAGGTGGTTGGATTTCGAAAAGCGTCACGGTACAGCTGCAGGCGAGCAGGAGGTGCAGAACAAGGCCAGGGAGTACGTGCAGCGCATCGAGGATGGACAGCAGGAAAAGGAGGGGTCATAGTTAGCGGAGGCAGGCAGGCGCGAAATGTCTCTTGAGGAGTAGTGATGACATTTAAGGCTTGTTGGCCGTGGCTGTCTTGTGCATGTGTGTGTGTCTTGCGAAAGGACGAGCTGTGCATGTGGCGTGTGTGGGACGGTCGATGTGTATCATGACAAGTCGTCAAGCCTAGGGCTGAAGGGACGTAGATAACCCGACAGACACACAAATTAGCAATAGCATGAGTGTTTGTATAGACAGGTCTCTCTCGCATGGCCCACAAACAGAGAGCCACACAAAAAGCACCGACGTCCACAAGGGGGATATGTAGACGGCGGCACGAGCCTCTCGGCCACGCGATCAAGATCAATAACGCATGTATACAAATGGAGAGATGGTGGGCATGGTCGTCGCATTGTCTTGCTCTCTCGCCGTTCACCAGTGTGGATGCAAGGGCAGCCTCTGGTGCCTCCGCGCTGACACTGCAGGTGCCCTTTCCTCCAAGCAAGCGAACGGAGATAAGACCAAAGATAGGACAACACACGATTCACGTCTGCCGAGTCATCCCCAGATGTGAGACAGAGGCCTCTTGGCTAATTGCAGGCAGGCAGGCAGGCAGGCACCGTGAAGAAAGCACATACACACATGGACGGACGGCTCTCTCTCCTCTCTCCTACAAGTACACACACACGGACAGATATTCATTTAAGCGCTACACATGAACGAGTGAGGGGCCTGCCTGTCTGTCGGTCTGTCTGGGGCGGCCCCCATGTACACATGGATACGTAGTGGAATGGATGGTACATGCATGTATATAAGAGACGCACACACACGCAGTGGGATAAAAAGTGCCGTGGAGTCGTGTAAAGAAATACGTGCAGACAGACGCGTACATGTACACAAACGGGCAGAAAACACTCACTCTACAGATACCGAAAGAAGGAAGACCGAGGGCGCAAAACCGAAGCCAGCCAGCTACCTGCACCTGTCTCCTCTCCTCCCTTCCATGCCCCCTCTCTCCACCCCACACCCTACAGCCACGAGTCTTCCTCCTCGGTGATGTGGAAGTCGTCGACATCGATCTCGTATGCGCCGTGGTCGACCAGTCCGGTGCGGCGGATGATGTTCTTGAAGTTCCTATTCCAGTGGATGTTGTCGAGCTTCCAGCTCTTGCGGATCTCCACGGTGCGGCTGGTGAGGTTGTCGGTGAGGTTGAGCAGCACCACCAGCTCGAAGGCCGACCCGTGCTGCTGCAGCTCGTCGGGGGTGAGGCCGTACAGGGGCGAGTCGGGGTCGCACGAGTCCACCGTCACCGACACGGGCAGCGACAGGAACTCCAGGGGGATGTTGGTGAAAAAACGGTTGAAACGGTGAATCATCTGAGCAACGAATGCCATGACACACAGACACGCATGCATTGATGTCGGTGCGTGTTCCTCTTTTGTATGGAGAGATGGTGGGATGGTGGGCTGGCTCACCAGGTCTTCAGGGTCGTGTTCGAGGAGGTATATGGTGAGCGAGGGGTCGATGAAGGGCGACGACGCCAAGTTCATCATGCGGAACGTCAGCGAGAAGTGCTGCTTCTCTTCCACCTCAAGCGGCCGCATCTGCTGGGTGGGCGGGCTTTCGGCGCCCTGCATCTGCCCAAACGCCCCGAGCCCCGAAGACATGCGAGCGATGCCTGGCTGCGACGCCCCCGCCGCCGCGGCCACCGACAGCCGGCCCAGCCCCGTGGCCCCTCCAGTTGAGGGGTAGATCGTGCCGCCGAGGGTCTTCTTGCGGCCGACCTGGAACGACTGGCTGGGCCGCAGCGTGCGGCGGGGGGAGAGGGGGGACTCGGCCTTCCTGTCCTCGAGTGTGCTCTTGCGCGAGGGAGGGGGGCTGCCGTCCTCCTCATCCATCTCTGACAGACTCGGCAGCATCGAGCTGGCGCGAGGGGCGGTGCTAGGCGGGATGAGGGTGGCCTGGCCGACGCCACCGAGGCCTGACACACCTGCTGCCGGCAGGCCTGTCTGCATAGCCATGGCTGCATCACTCGCGTCGATGTCGCCCCCCACCAGGACGTGCGAGAAGGCCACTGAGTGTCGCCGCTTGGTGGCGTCGCTGAACTTGTTGAAGACGATGCCGACGACAATCGAGTTGAGGACGGCCCCGCTGCCGGCCATGAAGGTGACCATCCAGTTGGCGGCGTGGCACGTGGGCATCCTGGGCGACCCGTAGCCGACGGCAAACATGGTCTCGATGGCGAACCAGTAGTAGTTGAGATAGCCCTCCACGTCGCCCAGGCACTCCTCGACTTGCCCGGCCGTGACGAGGAACGTGAGGAGAGCGAGTATGGTGCCCCAGATGACGTAGAGGGAGAAGAGGATGCAGACGAGCATCCACCACTTGACCACCAGCAGGTTGTGGAACCGGTCCCGCCAGTAGAGTACCGACAGCCGCGACATGAACGCCCACTTGAGCAGGATGTTGTACTTGCCATTGTGCGTCACAAACGACGTCTTGCCGCCGCGCTTGAACATCTGTGCATACTGGGCTTCGTCTGTGTGCTCGGCAAGGAACATCCGACGCTGGCCTGAACCGCCGCCAGACATCATTCTGCAGCCAAGCAAATAAGACACAGCGGCATCCAATCCGTGACACATCTTCGCTTCTGCGTGTGCAGACCTGCGGTAAGGTGTTTGGGCGCCGGAGCGGGGCGTGTGTGTTTCTGATGCCATGCTGATATAGTCACGCTTCAGTGAGAGATCTCAGGCGGCCATGCTCTCGGGTATCTGGCGTGTGGCAAACAAAAAAGAAAAACGCGGCTCCCCAGCCCTGCGAGCTCACAAGCTCGCCCCGATTCGACTGAAAAAAACATTGCAAATCCCGTCGTGCCAGGAGCGCAGAGAAGAGGAAGGTCTTCATAGTGTTTTTCAGGGAATAATCAACCTCTCTCTTCTGATTCTTGTGACCGCCCCCAGGAGGACTGTTGCAGACATCGGCTGCTTTGAGTGCTGCTTGATCTGAGCAACAGTAGGCGATGGAGTACGGTGCAGAGAGGAAGGAGTTCCTTCGCGAGTCGCTGGACTACCTCGAAACAAAGGCAAGAAGCGCCAAGATGTCATGTGGCTGGCTGAGTGCATGTCGTCTCCCCTCATTTCTGCGTGGTCTTTGTGCGTCTCTGTGGTGTGGTGTGTGCAGGAGGTGTATGATTTGTTTGACTATTTGATGCGTGAGCTGATCCTGCACCAGCCTGAGGACCCTCTCAAGTTTCTCATCGACACGCTCAAGGACCCCCAGCCCCTCAAGATCATCATCCTTGGCCCGCCCGGCTCCGGCCGCTCCACCCATGCCAAGCGCATCGCCGACACGTACAACCTCACACACGTGGCGGTCGGCGAGCTCCTGCGCAAGACGCTTGCCGAGTCGGATGAGGAGGCCTTCACCAAGCAGGTGGCCAGCGGGTCTCTAGTGCCGGACGACGTGGTCGTCGACCTGGTCAAGAAGGAGCTCGAGGGCGTCAAGGGCGGGTGGGTGCTCGACGGCTTCCCCAGGACGCGGGTGCAGGCCCAGGCACTGCAGCTGAATCGCATCATACCCGACAAGTTCATCCTGCTCAACGTCCCCGAGAACATCGTCAGGGGCCGCTTCCAGGAGAAGAACGTGAGCGACTCCACGGCTGCAGACGACTCGGGTGAGGCCGTGGAGCTCCGCCTGCAGCACTACTACCGACACCTCATGGGCGTCCTGCACCTCTACCAGCCTGTCGTGCACCAGGTGGACGGCACTCTCCAGCCTGATCAGGTGTTCGCTGGCATCCAGGCCCACATCAGCATGCGCCCTTACAGCAACGCGCCCCTCCGCCCGCCGCGGATCGTGATTGTGGGCCACGCCGGCAGCGGCCGGTCCACGCAGGCAGCCAAGATCGCCAAGCACTATGGCGTGGTGCACGTCGATGTGGCCGTGGTGTTGCACAACCTCAGCACCATCACCGAGAGCGAGGTGAGCCACGCGCTCAAGGGCAGCCTCAACGAGGGCACCCCGGTGCGCGACGACCTGGTGTGTGAGGCGGTGCTCAAGCGTTTGCGCCAGCCAGACTGCGAGAAGAAGGGCTGGGTGTTAGATGGATTCCCCAAGACCCCCGCGCAGGCCGACTACCTGCGCAAGGCCCACCTGACGCCCAACCGCTTCATCAACCTGTCGGTCAAGATCGACACGGCCCTGAAGCGGCTCTCTGAACGGCTGCACGACCCTCTCACCGGCGAGATCTACTACGCTGACAACCTGCCCACCGAAGGGGCGGTGAAGAACCGCCTGGTGACGTCCAAGTACGATGCCGCCGACGTCGTCACGAAAAGGTGGGCCCATCTTAGGGCGGCAGGAGGGGACAACATCAATCCATGTCTCTCTCTACTTTACGTCTCGCTTGTGTTTGTTTTTCTTCTTTGAGGCATGAGGCACACGAGGAGTTTTCGGAGGAGGTCCTTCATATGTATCCCCACCAGTCGCTGACCATCACGTGTGACGACCTGGATGTGCTGGCGTTGTTCGAGAGTATCAGGGACTTTGTCGACAGGCCATTGCCAAGGGAGGTCGCCACGACCTTTGGTGCGGCGGGGATGGCGGCTACTGCTGCATTCAAGGAATGAATGGATGTGTGAATTGATGGATGGATTGCCCGATGGATCGATGGAAGTGTGAATGGGCACGGGGGAGACACAAAGTATGGGCGTGTGGTTCATGTCAACCTAGTGAATCGATGGCGGAATCGCATTGACTACTCGTGTGGCCCTGCCAATGCATCTTGGCGACGACGCACACCACCACAGCCCAACGAGACAAGGCAATGGAGCGTGCCTGTGCGGTCGGGATTAGAGGTTTGAGTTGAGCGTGATTTGATGGGTATCACTTCAGATCACTCATGCATGCAGGCATGTCCATCATCAAGATCAACACGCAACAGTCAGTACCCCCGCAATCCGCAGTCTGCTTCCCTCTCCCTCTCCCTCCCTCTCTCTCGTCCATCACAGCCGCAGGATTGCGTGTGCGTCCTGCAGGCCAAGTGCCTGTCGCACCAGAGCCACCGTTTGCGCATAGGCGCCTGCCAGCCCGCCGTGACCAGCGTTGGGCTGCGGGAGCTCAGTCGTATAGACTTTGGCCACGCTGCTGTCGTGGGCCGTCAGGTTGTCTGTCGTCGTCAGCTCGATGTAGCATGCGAAGGGCTCCTCGGGGTCCGTGGCGCCCCCATGACAATGGTGCGCGTCATGCGACGTCCTGGCTCGTTAGTTCTTGGCAGACCGACGAATAATAGATTTACCTGCCCGGGATGCGCCCACCGGCGGGTCGAGGTCAGGCGCTGTGAGCCCCAGAAAGGCACTGCCGGATTCTGCATATGCATTGCATACATACATCAAGACACACATCTGGCGCACATCCTCACACGCATCCTCAGGCGTATTGTGCGTGCCTCTGCACACCTGATTATCAGCGCGTGTGTGCGGGCGAACCCTACAGAGGTTCTGTTGTGAGGACTGGTCAAGATCTCACGGAAGCGGGAGTGCTGCTGCACCCTGCACACGCGCAGACAACATTCATTGCATTTCGCCTGTGTATTTCGGCTGGCGTCTCCCGCCCACCGACAATTGCCCACCGATGGACGACAGCGCTCTGAATTCCGAGAAAGTCATCGCCTCCAACTGCAGGCAGGCAGCCATCGAATGCACATGAACCCGAGGAGGTAGGCCTGTCGCATTTGAATGCGTCACATTACCTTCGACGGGCGGGTCGTTCTCCTCAAAAGGCAGGAGACACGGACCCACAAGTGGGCGAATGCCGCTGAACGGGTGCGAGGGTGATAGGTGCGGCCGATTCTGGTCGTCAAGTTGCTGGGGGTCCCGATGATTAGCGCCGGGGATGGGCGCCGCGTACACCGTAACGAAATCCCTCCCTAGCCGGTCCTTCGTCTCCCCCACCCCGCCCCCCGGCAGCTTCTTGGGCGTCAGCAGCATGTGGTTTGTCGGCTTCAGATGGTGGCTGAAGAGGGACAGCTGCCGCATGCTCTTGGGGCGGCGGTCAAAGGCAGCTTTGTCCACTGCCCCGGCCACGTCCTCACCGACCTTGACCGGCACCTCCTTCACCCTGCCGCATACGTAGGCATATATCAGCACCTACAGACACACAAAGGCGCACACATGTGATGGGATGCGTGTATGCAATGCCATGCATGCGGTGAAAGGGCATGTATTACCTGCTGCCAGCTGATAATGTTGCCGGCATTCTCGAGCATGTACAGGAGCGGCGTCAGTTTCTTGCGGGCTGAGCGCAGGCGGGGCTCCCGCACGGCCAGCACAGCTCTCACGCGGTGAGCCTCGATGAAGCGCCGCATACGATACCCCGGCACAGCCACCGTGATTGTGGTGTGTACCGCTTTGCTCACGCACGGAACAAAAGCTGTCTCTTGCGGCTCAAGAAAGCCACACAGGACGTCAAAGCGTTCTTCTGGTAACTTGTTCATGGCGAGAAACACAACTAACAGCTGAGAGACAACCCTTGGAAGAGAGAGACGCCCCCAGCAAATTGACGGAAAAACAGCCCCAAACCATTGCTGTTGGCTGATACGGCAATCCGCGAGTTTTTCGTTGGCGATACGGCAGGAACGCCTTTGCGCAGCTGTGGTGGTTGCCTTCTGACGGATTGTGTCCGAGATCTTCCACTTGACGGCCGCACAGACTACTGTAAGTGTCGTCCCTTTCTGAGCGCAAGGACCTCTCTTGTCATATGTGTGTGCATCTGTTTTGGCGTTGAGTCATGCAGGTAGATAGCCGCCTGAGCGCTTGTGCCCATGGAGGCCGATTCACATGGACTCGCCGCCAGCGGCACGACGGCAGACAGCCCAGCAGACAGCATCCCTGATCATACACTTACACATGAGGACCACCACCAGCAGCAGCTGTCCGTCAACCACGGCGAGTCGATTGCCGACATAGGGCCACGCAGCGGTCATCAGGGCGGGTGTGCCGTTCCGAGGGCCGCCGGCCGTTCATCAATAGCCAGGTTTTGGCAGGTTTTGGGTAGTCTGATTCCCTCAGAGTCAGACTGTGCAAGCACTGAGGAGTGCGTCGCCAGGATGATGGTGAGGAGCATCCAGGCCGACGCAGCCAAATGCATCTACCAGCTGCGCAGAGCATCGGTGAGCAGTGAGCCACGGGCATGAACGGCATTTCCATCTTTGTGCGATGTGTATGTGTCCCTCTCGTGCAGACGGTAACAGCGGGCGAGAGGGCTATGCGTGAGGCCAACAAGCTTCTGCACAAGGACGACAAGCTCAAGTACGACCTCACCAGCCCCGGGTACGAGAGCGACTTTGGCGGGTACGAGAGCCGCTATCTCCAGGCCATTGAGCAGGCCACGCCTGACCTGCAGCAGGCCATGTACGAGTGCCACACACGGATGAGTGCAGAGCAGGCCCCGACGTGCAGTGAAGGCACCAACTGACTGGCCTGGTCTCCCCTCCTTCTTCATACACACCCCCCTCTGCATGGCTGGCTGGATGGATGGATGCACTCATGTGGTTGCTGGGCGTGGGCGTGTACGGGCTCGATTTGTACATACGTACTCCTTCTATACATCTTCCATGGGGGACTGTAGTGAAAGAAGGCGTAGATGTCATCTTCCATATGGCTGCAGCTCCATGAATGGGTGCATCTGCCTCTCTCCCCCTCCCTCAGAAGAGCTCTCGCGACTGGCCGATTTTCTCTCGCTCTCTCGCGCGAATTGGAACGTGCGTGACGCAGAGTGTGTGGACGGCAGAGTTTGTCGGTCTGTCATGAAATGCACTGTGCAAGGCCTCATCAGAGCACCGCAACGGAGGGATTTAGCAGATGCGGGGCGACTGAGAGTGCCGAAGGGGCTGAAAGTGCCGCGACAACACACACACGCTGCCAATGTGAGCGAGAGAGAGAACCGCTAGGAGAGGGAGGCGTGTTTACAGGTTGGACTCGTATTTCTCCTCCTGCCGGCGAGAATTAATGCGACGGCGAGAACGCGAGACGGGACAAATTTCTTTTCGAAATTACGATTCGTCTGCCTCATTCCTCTCCATCACCTCGTTTGGCAGCGATCCTCGCAGCGATTTTGAAGAAGCCGTTGGCGAGCGTTGAAGAGGAAAGAGCGATGTCAGCCAAGCTGGTCATCGGCCAAGGGCCCACCGCCCGCACAATCTTGTTTGATGATAAGGCCAAGGAGGAGCTGGGGAGCGGCGGGACGGCACTCGTCCTCAAGGGCGTTCTGCCGCGCGAGGACGGCAGCGGTGGGGACCAGGTGGCCTTCAAGATAGGGCGGCTACGGCATGACGCCGACGACGACGAGTCCAAGGAGGACAGCGCCGGATGCGGCGAGGTGGTGGTGGAGGAGGAGGAGGAGGAGGAGCCTCAGGGTGACATCGAGTCCGAGGAGGAGGGCAGCAGTAGCAGTAGCGGCAGTTCGTCAGAGGAGGTGTCTGAGTCGGAGGAGGGGAGGGGCAGCGGGGAGACGGGGGAGCAGACGGCCACCGATACGGCGAGAGAGACGGCAGCGGCAGCCTCTGAGAGCGTTCCAGGGGAGGGAGGTGCCGGCCAGGGGGAGGGCAGGGCCGAGGAGGTCGTCGACGCAGCCAAGGTGGCGCGGGAGCTGCGCGTGGAGGCTGATCGCATGCGCCAATTCGGCGGCCAGCCTCCGTTCGTCAACCTCTACGCCGCCGAGGTGGACCCGCAGTCGCCCGCCACCTACACCAACACGAGAGGGGATGCCATCCCGGCCCTGTGGATAGCCATGCAGCTAGTGTCTGGTAATGAGCTTGCTTGCACAACACACACAAACAGATGCGCACATGCCCGAGATCCTCATTTCTTTTTGTGTTTCTGATTGATATGTAGGTGGTGCTGATAAAGAGCACGACTTCATCGAGTTGAGCGATATGAGCGACTGGCTGCAGGACACGGTGATGCAGTTCGACAAGGCGAGGAGGGACAAGGGCAACATCGGCCCGCAGGCACGGAAGGAGGTGCTGAGGCGCGTCAGCATGCTCACCAAGGCCCTCCTGTGCACCGCCAAAGCCCACAAACTCGCCATGCCCCACGCACTCTGTGTCGACCATTTCCACAACAACGTCATGCTCTCCAAGGCCGCCCTTCGGAGCCCCAGCAGTGAGCTGCAGCAGTCCGACTCGGCCGGCGGCACGCTGCTGTTGGACCTGGCCAATACCCTCACCCCACCCCTCACCCCTCCCTCCCCGCACCACCACCACCAGCCTACTTGGGCCCCCACGTCGTCGTGCTGCCCCTGGACAAGGCCGCCCAAGCCGCCCAAGGGCAGCTTCCGAAGGGCACGGACTGGCACATGTCGCCCGAGATTTGGGTGGCCATGAAGGCCGCCGGTCGACGACGAGGCGGACGAGGCGGCCGCGGGAGCCACCGGCCGCATCAATGCCGGCCTCAACAGAACGCGGCAGGAGCTGAGGGCGGAGGGGCTGCTGGTGGGTGAGGGCAAGTCGGAAGCCCTCATGCTCGGGGAGCCGACCATCGTCACCGGCATCGCCAGGGCCATTAGCTCCGTCATGAGGGCGGACTGGGAGGTGGAGACCGCCATCAGGGACGCCAAGGCGCTGGGGGCAGCTGAGCAGCCTCAGGCGGCCCAGGAGCTGCTGCTGGCCGACTGGGACCACTTACACGGCCACCATCATCACCCAAGACGGCCGGCCACTCGACTGCCGCAAAGGCGAGCCCGTGCGCCCCGAGGAAGTCCTCACAGCGTGCCCGGGGCTCGAGTGGTTCAGCCAGTGGCAGCAGATCGTGGGAGGCGCCGCGGCCAAGGGATTGCGGCGCAGACAGAGCGAGCGGGGGACCATCGCAGACTTAGAAGACCAGCTGGTCTGGGCCCTGCAGCTACTGGAGCTGGAGCAGGAGCTGCTGGAGCTGGAGCTGGAGCTGGAGCTGCTGGAGCTGGACCAGGTCAAGGAGGCCACGGCAAACGGCACCAGCCTGCAGGTACCCGTCGCCCTGCCACCAGTGAGTGAGAAGCCGATGGAGACGACTGGCAATGTTGCTGCTGCTGCTGCAGGTGAGTCACGTGTGCTGTATGAGTTGTGTGTGTGTGGCATCCATCCATCCATCCATCTCACTTGCCTCTTCGCCTCTCTGTGTCTGTCTGTCTGTATGTGTCGTGTGTGTCAGGTGGTGCTGACAATTCCGGCAGTGACATGGCCTCAGGGGATATTGGCGCCTCCCCGGCGTCGTATCGCGCCATGCCCGACTCACCCGAGTCACCACCAGCACCAGCAGAGCCACCCGTACTACCGCCGCCAAACCCCCAGCCTGCAGAGGTGCCGATCGATGCGTACGCGTCACGACCCGGCCCCAACACCCCCAACCCCGAGCCGTCCCCCATCGCACCAGCCACACGCCAGAAGGCCGTCCTCCTGCCGGATATCAAGGCAGCCCAGACCACCCCCACCGCAAGCCCAACCCCCACTCACGACCCACCCC